TGACAGTCTATTTGCTCTGCCAAACTTAGGTTATGTTGCGTTTATTCACCCCTCGGAAGACAACACTACTCTTTGTTATACGTGGTAAAACAAAGGTCTGGACTTCCTATGCCTACAAATTTCTTGCCAACCAGATTGTAATACCTGAGCCTAACCCTTTAGTTGTAGGTTTTCATTGCATCTGAACCCTTTTCCTTGTTTCTGGCTATTTATGCAGACTCCTCTGGAATATTTAGAGCCGATCTTAAGGGAAGATATTCAAAAGGTAATCGTTTGTATCTATTGCTGGTTTTTGAGTTCTTCCTCTTTTTCTCTTCCTTTCCTACTCTTTATTCTTTTTATGTTGCATTTTTATTGGTGATGAGTACTTCAGATATGGGATTCAGTTTGTAAGCCTCAAGCCTATAAAAACACTCCTTTGAGTGAATTTTTAATGTAAGAATGTTTTCCTCTCTCTTCCCTTTTGTTTCCTTTCTATGTATTCAGTCTGTAATTTATATATTTCATTATGGTCATGAGTACCATTTTACGTTTGATCATTGGTGTGAAGATGGAGGTCACTGCTTTGGCTAGCCATGAAGAGAAAGAGGAGCACTTCAAAGACCAGGTAGTCCCTGTAGTAAAAGAAGTTGCATGTGCTGCTTGGTTATACCTTTTAATTTGTATTAGTTTTCAGAACCTTCAGGTGTGATTGCTAGGAAGAACAGAAAAGTGCAAAAAAATTTTCAATTCAATGCGAGACTCCTCATGACATCGGATAGCAAGCATTCTATCTTTCTAGCATTTCATCACCCTATTTGTTAGAAAGTAAGAGAAGAGAAGAGAAGAAGGGTTGAACATGTTGTTGCACTTTGTTCATTGTGTCATCCAATCGATTTATGCTGATATGATGACATAACAACTTAGTGAAGCTCTCAATTGCCTACTGTTAGATTTTGAGCTCCCTTAAAATTTGGCTTCATTATCCCAGATAGGTTTTCTGATCAAGATGGGGTCTAGAGCTGTGGTTTAAGCGTACTGGCATTATATGATGTCTTATGCAGGTTGCTCAACTGAGGCAGCGATTTTTCAACCCTATTTCCCCAGGAGGACTTGCTGGTGATGGACGCAGTGTTGTCCCTGCCTCGGGATTTTCTTTTAGTGCTCAGCAGATATGGAAAGTTATAAAGGAGAACAAGGACCTGGATCTTCCTGCTCACAAGGTTATTATTTATCCATAATTTTCCGTTTGAATTTCTTGGTTTTTTTTCCTCTACTGCAAGTAAATGTTCTTTCATTATGCTTATCAGGTCATGGTTGCCACTGTTCGGTGTGAAGATATTGCTAATGATAAGCTCTGTCGCTTAACCAGTGATGAGGTACTTTTGCATCCATTTCCTTTTAGGTGTTACTTTACTCCAGCTACTCCCTATATTTATTTGCTGACTGCTCTAGTGAATATCATTTAGGCTTGGATAGCATTAGAAGAAACCGTTCAATTTAAGTATCTGGTTTTGGGAGAAAGCTGAGCTCTATTCTAGATGCTTATTTTTCAGAGTAAGTTTATACCTCCAACTCGTATGCATATGCTGTTTATATGTATCCCTGTTGGTTTAAGAGACATCAATGTTTCTTTCCAGATGTATTTTAAATTCTGCTTTGGAAATTGCCTGCCATTAAGACCAGAACATTTGTTATATCAGTTATATTAGGTAATGTTGAAAGTTTAATTCATTTGTCAAAGTTTTTATGAGTAGATGTTTGTTTCTGTGGTCATCTGATAACTCCTATTGAACTAATTTTTTTAATGATCTCATCATTTTTGCATATAATGTTTTGATTTTGAAAACCATTCAATTTAGTTTGACAAGGTTCAATATGATGTTTGCCAAAACATAAATGTTTGAAATGAAGATCTATAACTTTATCTTAAGGATATCTTACTCAAAGATGAAATTAGAAGCCTAGATTCTCTGCTATTCTGAAACATACATTGTTGGAGCATGATTTGAAAGTCCTAATCTTGCCTCTGCACTTCAATTTTCTTTTACAATAGATATGACTTGGAGGCGATCTACTTTGATGAGGGTGTAAGGAACACAAAACGTCAACAATTGGAGTTAAGAGTTTTCGATGTAAGGCCTTTATCACAATGATACTTCTCTATTTGAAATTTCAGATGATTTTTGGTGGCTTACATTGCATTTGAAAACTTCAATGATTAAAATACAAGCAAGTTATATATTTCACCCTAGCATTTTGGTTATTCTTAGAGATACCATAAGTTGTGCTAATATGGGCAACTGCTGAAGCTATAGCTCAATACAGTCTCAATGATATTTTCTATAGAGCATAACACAAAAAGGAAGCTGGTATGGGTATTATTCTACTGGAACTGCAGAAGGCCTTTTTTCGGGCATTGTTGGTTTTTTAAAACAAAGAAATGAAGAGAACCGAGAGAAAGATGAAAAACAGATCATAAGCTGAAATGGAGAGAAGTATATGACTTCAACTCAAGTTTTCTCATTGCAATCTCTCCTATTTATAGGAGAATACAATACAAACTCAATTCAAAATTTAAATCTAAACAACTATTTTACATTAAAAAAATAACAATAAAATACATTTGAAATTTGAAATATGTAACAGCCATTTCTGTCACATTGCTGCGTCCTTCGGCAGCTCTGCAGCATGCTTGGTCCCTTAGCAGCTCTACAGCATGCTTGGTAACTCTGCAGCCTCTCATTTCATTTGCATTTGCATTTAAGTTGCTGTTCATTGCAGCCTCATTTCATCAACATTTGCAGCTTAGCTTGCTGCACATTTTTGCTGTCATTTGACAGCTCATTTTCACCATATTTGCAGCTAAATTGCTGCACTTTGCTGCTACCGTCCTATTGGTGCAGCTCTCCCTTCATTTTGCTGCCATTTTGTGCAGCCTTTCATTTTCATTTGCTGCTACTTTTGCAGCTTGAACACCACAGCTCCAACAGGCATCTCCATATGGGTCATGTATTTTGTGTATCAAATATGGGCAGCCTTTTTATTATCAATATGGCTGGCTAATTTGTTGGAGACCAAGTGACTAAGTAACCATATTCTGCAGTTGAAGTCCCTGATCCTTTGCTCCTCCATCCAAACCACAGTCTATATACAATCTTGGATGTGTGTGTTCACTAGACCAACAGTCCATTTCTCAATTTTGGAATTGGCTATTAGTTTTCTCTGTTTTGTTCTTAACTGTAATCTTGTTGCACTTCTCAATACTCATCTTCATCTTTCTCTACTCTCTTGCATTTTCCAGTTTGTCCATCCTGCTTATACTAAGTTGTTAGGACATCTACGCGTCAAAGCACTAGACAACATTAAGTCTAGAGTACAAGAGATGCTAAACAAAGGAGATGGATTTGCAGCTTCTGTTCGTACATGTACTGGTTCTTGTATGCTCGAGTTTGACCTAGGATGTGCAGGTAATTTAATATTTATATCCTATAAGCTATGTTTGCCTCTGCTAATATATCATTATCCCTTTTCATCTTTTGCTGAAGTTTTTTACACCATAGGTGTACAACATTTTTAACCATTAATGATTTTGTTTTATGTTCTGGTTCTTCAGATGCTGCCATCAAACAGGCTAACTGGGATGCTTCAAAAGTCCGAGAAAAATTTCGTCATGATATTGATGGCTTGGTATCATCCCTATGCAGTGCAAAGTTATCAGAATTGGTAGGAAACTATAAGGTAAATTTCTTTGTTAATCCAATACTTCATAATTGCTCTCTCATCAACAGGTCTCCTTAAACCATCCATGTTATCTGTATTTTATCAGTTATGTCAATGTTGACTCCATACTGATTCTGCAGAAACAACTTAGTCAAGCACTGATGAAACCAGTGGAGACATTACTTGAAGCTGGTGGGAAGGACACATGGAGTTCAATAAGAAAGCTTCTCGAACATGAGACAGAGACTGCTGCTTCAGAGTTTTCAACTGCTATTTCTGGTTTTGAGTTAGACCGAGCCACAATCAACAGAATGGTGCAAGATTTAGGGAACTATGCAAGAAATGTGGTGGAGAAAATAGCAAGACAAGAAGCTGGAAAAGTTCTGATCCGCATGAAAGGTAAGTAACTGTTGAGGAATTTTCAAAATAGTTCTAGGATTTTAGTTTGAATCACAAAAAATTTGTTAGAAGCAATTGCACAAAATGCATTTGAGAAAGTGTGATTTTGGTTCGAACCATATAAATATGATTTGAAAGTTCGAACCACATTTATATGGTTCGAACCATTTAGGTAAGAAATAAAAGATAGAATTCTAGTAAGTTTCTTAAGGAAAAGTTGATAACTTTGGAAGGTAGGAAAACACATGAGTTGGAATTCAAATCAAATCAAATGAATTTTGAAAGAATTTCTAATAGATAAACTTAACAAAAATTCAAATATCTTTGGTTAATAAACTGAAAAGGAGCGTTTATTCTTAACAGACATTTTACTCCTATAAATATGGAGTTATCTCTTCTTCTTCATCTCTTGAACACATAAACAAATCCCTACTATTATCTAAATAAAACAATCATTTTTTGTACTGCAATTGTTGCAAAAATCCTTTTACAAAAACTATTGTTTTGTCACTTTTCTAAAGGATAGTTTAATATCACCAAGGCACTACATTGTATCCTAGGAGCACTACGGGCATTACAGTTTACTTCCTTTTGCATACCAGATTTAGTGAAGGTAAAATTAACCTAAAAGAAAGTGATATTTGCAACACACCTTTAAGCCTTTTTCAGATCTTCGACCCCTTTTTCTTCAACAGTAACACCATCCTGGTTGTTTTCTATTATTTACTAGAGCAATCAAATTTCTTGCTTAATGCTTTGAGGGCAAATGTCAGGTTCTCAACCGTCTTTAATCATGGAAAAGGCTCAATCCCAAGATTTTGGACAGGAAAAGAAGACATTAAGACAATTACAAAGGATGCCAGAGCTGCGGTAATATGCTTGTTTGTCTTGCTCATGAAGGGAAGCAAAGTTCCACTTTCTTTTCATTTTGTTTTGTTGTCTGATTCAGTTCTGAATTCTGTTGCAGAGTCTCTAAGGCTCTTATCTGTTATGGCCGCCATACGCTTGGATAAGAACCGGGATAACATTGAGAACATAATCTTTTCATGATTTCATCCCTCTTAGAAGGAACGTTGGCTGTTTCATCTTCCCGAAATAGAAACATGGTAACATCTGCAGACGCTCTTGCCTCTAGCACAAGGGAAAAGGTACTGATATACATGGTATTGTTAATTTCTTAATTAAATTGAATTAATACATTTTCTCATTTTAATTCCTGAAATATGAAATAGGTTTCTCCGAAAGATACTCTGATTACACCAGTGCAATGTAAGTCACTTTGGAGACAGTTCAAAACGGAGACTGAGTACACATTGACTCAAGCTATCTCAGCAAAGGTACATCATGCGAATTGTTTCCTAATCAATATTTTTCTTTGCATTTGGTTAAGTAGCACTCTTTTTTTTCCAGAAAAGTGCAGTTTTACTCAAATTAAGAGGATACTGTCTTTCATTCTCATTTTAAAACATATTTTTTGAGGACAGGAAACAGAAAACTAAACCAATCATCTGAAAATTTTGCTTCTTTCATCTCTCCTGTTTTCTGAGTTAGAAGGTTCATGCTTTAAGTTTCCCAATAATATGAGATCTTTCTCTGAGTCTTAGGTCACAATCTGCATCAATGTATCATACTTTCGTTTCATATATTTTTTGCCTGTGCTAGAAGTTTCTTCTTATTTTCACCATGATCCTTGGGAAGATATCATTCCCTTACTGAATCTTTTGTTCTTACCTTTAGGAGGCTCATGAGCGTCGTAACAAATGGTTACCTTCACCATGGTCAATTGTTGCAATTGTTGTCTTTGGGATTGATGTCGCATTTTGGATGTCGCGAAAAGGTGTGTCAAAGTCCAAGGACGAAAATAAGCATTCTGAAAATCTTAAGAACTAAAATGAAACTCTTTAAAAACTCCAGATATTGTTTATTTGGATACATATCAACACCTAAAAGAAAAGGAGAAGCTATTGATTGAATTGAGGTGGAAGTGCAAACCTAGAAAATATTTATTGGAAAAAGATCAAAAAAGATTGTTTAGGAGGTCCACTAACTATGGGAAAACTGATAACTGTGGGACTCAGTTGACAACTTAAAAAAGGGTTATAGACAAAATCATCTCGAAAAAGTTACTTTGTTAATATACCTTTTCGGGATAAAACTATCCTGAAAAAATTGGCCTCAAACAAAGGAAGTCATAAATAGAATTGTTAGGACAAGTTTAAGTGTGATTGAATGCTCTAATTTTGACATATATTAAACAAAGGAAACAAGAAAAACATCATGACCATCGTCTTTTCAGTAGTTTGGAAATTGTTAGATCTGCTCCTCCGAAGCCATCCATTACTGCATTTGCTGAAGGGAACTCGCCTCTTGACGTGAAGCTACAAGGAAAAAGAGAGAAAAATGTATAACAACTCAAGTTTCAAACCAGCAAGCTGTTTGGCAACCAATATCATAAAAATGCAGATTGCAGAACATGCTATGGTGGTGCAAGAGCAATATAAGTTGCAACAAAATATTAGATTTTGTATGAGACTGGAGAAGGAAGGACCATAAACCTGTTTACATTGAATATTTTTCTCTCTTTCAAATTTTTGAGGGGCATTAGTTGCATCTTTTAATTGAAGAAATTGGGGAGAAGAAGAAAAACCATACCTGCTTCTCAGTACAACACACGGCATGCCTATTTGCTCAGCTCCAGAGACTCCGGATCTGCTTCCTGCAATAAGTACACAATTGTAGACAGGTACCCCAGCAAATTCTGCTCCAGCACGCAGGGTAGCAACAATCTTTTGCAAGCTGAATAACCCTCAAAATATCAGATCATAACTAATTTAAGAGTTTTCTAAGCAGTCAAACTTAATGCTTGTCATTTTCCTATCTTAGGTCCTACACCACAATAGATTCAAAGTTTGGGTGTTTTGATTTATAATTATGAGCAGTTGGTTGTATGGACAATGATAATAAGTCTTAGAGGAAAGAAGAGGTTAAACTACAAGGATATGTATAGACATAAGTGCCACATACACAGAGAAATAAAAAAATCAAAATAAGATTAAAGAACAAAAAGGAAACAAGGTAGTCTAACCTTTCAGCGGAGGTCGTGTCAAGGTCTACACTCAACTTTAGCATGGATGCAACCTCCTTTGCTATCTTTTGTTTCTCAGCAGAAGCTGGCCCACAAAGCAAGAATAGAACCCTTTAATAACTAATGTTATGCATTGAGAATGAACTTCATCGTACAAATAAACTCCACCAAGCCTAGGTATGGAATCTACCGGCTTCTCTTGCTTCCTTAGCTAGTTGCTCATCCAGATCAGATGACATTGCTTTGCCAAGCACAAGTTGACCATAAAAACTTCTTTCTACTTCCTCATTTCCAATGATCTTTACTTTAGAAAGTCTCTCATGGCCAAACTTTTCAACAATAGATCTTTTTTTTTTTCTCGCACAATAAGAGATAAAAGAAATATCAGAGAGCTTAATTGGTTTCAACAGAAATGTTTACAAAGGCGTGTACGAAATATTGAAATTATAGAAAAGTCACATGCTTTGTCATTGAATTTGCTCTTGAACAATGAAACACAAAATTAATGCATGCATAAGATATGAGTAGTTGCCACAACCACGACTAAACTAAACCAATTCTTTTCTATTTCAGAAACATTATAGCATAAACTCAGCAAATCAGTACAACATACCGAGCAACCTTATCCCCACTTTTACTGTAGGATGTCAAGATGACAACAGTTATTCCTTTGTTGTATGCATCATCAATAAAACTGCAAATGAAGATGGCAGATATAGGCTCAAAACACTGAAGGAAAAAGAAAAGTAATTTGAGATTAAGAACAAACAAAATGGACCCAATACACAACAACTATAGAAGAGAACTAGAATTTTTTTTCAGTGAAAATCTAGTAAAAAGGACCTAGAAGGCAAAGACTCAAATGTCTTGACTTGTTAGTCTTTTTAAATACCTTGTTGGCTATTTGCCAAGATGCTTTGATTCTACTTCATTCAGTTAACTCTTAAGTATGAGAAGCTAGGCAAGTTCAAATAATCAAATTTCAACATCAGTGTTTGGTTGCTGAAAAAATCTCATGTACATAACATAGTAAAAAGTTTACACCTTGGCAGTTAATAGCTAAAAAGTCTTGCACAAGTAGAAAATATTGAAAATTTTCAAAAGTTTAAACACTCCCTAACAGACATCGAGACCAACTATGCTAAGAAAGGCACCTAGTTATTAACATTGAGATTTGAGATGAATATGCTATGTATGTCAAGAATCAGGTTACCAAAATAGGTCCACAAAAAGTATGAACAAACATAAAAGTTGGATATGTGAAATTGAATTTCCATAATGAACTAGATCAGAGTTCAGCCAGCTTAAAAAAAATGCTTTACTTGTAACTAAGTCAAGAAATACTTGAATAGAATAGTTTAAGTTGAATGCCAAGTATTGTTTTAGGTTAATTTGGTCTTTAGTTTCTTTCATTGGGAACCAGGCAATTGACAGGAGATTTAATAGACAATGCTTGTCCAAACCCAAGCAGGCAAGTAGTGTATATCTACATAAGGGCAAGCACAGATTATGCAATATAAATGGCCCTACCATGAAGAAGTGATTCTATACTCCAAGAACGAGGCAACAAGAGACTTATACAACCGGTTCTAGAAAGCCACTCTGTGTTTGAAAAAGAAAGGTGGTCCAAGAGGAAAACATATGAAATCTATGTTTATTTCTGACGTGACAACTTACTCTACAGCTCCAGGTCGCAAAGGTAAACTTGTTGACATAAGTTCTTCCAAAGCATTTTTCTGTCAACAATTAGAAGAAAGCTTTAGTAGTGCTTATCATACTAAACTATGAACAGAGGCTGAAAAGACGATATCGAAAGCTCATACAGATCAAGAACAAACTTGAAACTATAACTTAGATGACATGAAAAACATTTTATTTTATTTTATTTTATTTTTTTGGAAAAAAGTTCAGAAATAGCTATAATTATGTCTGAGTACCAGTACTGTATTTTTTTTATAGAATTTCAAATTACCTTTTCCCGCAAGACACTTTTCACAAATGCTCCTTTCTCACTTGTGGGCAATGAAGTAGGCCAACCAATCTGCATATATAATAGATAGATAACAGAATATGGTAAGAACTTAAGAAGTGCAAATGCACAAAGCTAGCCATAAGCTTTTATACTTGTAAATACGAGAAATACTCACACGGTTAAAATAAAAAATCAACATCCTTTCCTCATCACCAGAACTTTTCCTGGATAGTAATTTGCAAAATGCTTTAGAACAACCTCAAGTATCAAAGTTGATAGGCATTAAGGAAAAGGGAGGGGGGCGTGAAGAACAAACTTTTGAATGATTGATGAAAAGCAAATTGACTCCTAGAGGGCTCAATTCAAAGTGTATTAATTGTTTCCCAATGACTTTCATTTTTGTTAGAAATTATCCAATTGAAATAAGATATGGAACAAAAAGACAAACTTAGCTGAATTTTCACCTTAAAAGATCTAAATAGACTGGTTCTGTCCAATTTGCACAATCAAGCCCGAGCTTTTGAAATGCTGACAGCATCGAAAGAAAAACAGTGAAAAACACTGAAGTAAGCATAACAGACGCTCATAATCTAATCTGGAACTTAATCATCAAAATACTAACTCAGATCCTTGGTAAGATAGACATATTCTTATTGAATCTGCCGCACCTAGATTGAAAGCTTGGCGATTTCCCAATCGATATGCATCCATAAGGACCCTAAAAAAAAAAAAAAAGTGCAAAATTAGAAACTATAATCAAGAAATATATATAGTCTCCATTTTATCCATGTAGAAAAGATTGTAAAGAAAAAAAAAAAAACAAAAAGGACAATTTGAGGCTGAACAACACCTAACTTATATATAATTGAATGTAAATGGGTCTCCCCTGCATTGGATTCTTGTATGTATATGATTGAATTAATAAAGCCTAAACCATATGGTAACAGGAAGCACAAATAATAGATGTAAAAGTGTCATAAACTAAGCAAAAAAATGTTGCACATTTGTAATTGAAATATGCAGTACACAATTGGGCAAGCTCATGAAAAATGCACCAGCGTCAAATCCAGAGACAAAATGACAGAAATCCAGAACATTAATATCAAAGTATAAAGAAACTAAAGATGAAAAAACATATTTTGAATACTACCCACTTCCACAACTTACATGACAGATAAAAAGAGAAAAATAACATAACAATAGCTTGAAGCTAAAAAGAAACCCAAGAAATGAAAGAGTGGATTAATTACCCATCAACTTCGAGAAGAACAGCGAGTTCTGGAGATGGGTTTTGGTCGTGGGGATTGGAGGGGGAGCTGAGAACACTAAACCCACTGACCCGCAAAGATTTTCCTGGAAAATTACAGTTTCTAAGGAAAGCAGAGGAAAACGAAGGAAACAAACAGATACTAGTGCTGTTTCTATGTGGGTATGTTTCATTGTAGAGTCTGTTAGTATTGGAAGCAACTGTATTGCTTGAGAATCGAAGGGTGTAGAGAATGGAACAGAAAGTAGCAGCTTCCATGGAAATGCTTGCTTTTTGGTCTCAATCTACACAGTATTTGCTGAACGGTCTGTCTTTCTTCCAAAAAAATAATTTTACATTTTTGGTTCGAGGGCGCTGATCAGGCGGGCCTGGAATTTGATTGGGCTCTTCAAGCCCAACCCAAACCTTTTGGACCAATATATCTTGGGTTCACATTCTCATAACATTATAGTATTATACACTTGGGTTCAAGGGTGAGCGTTAGCAACGGGCATATCCGTTATTTACAAATATTTTACCTGTTTAAATAAGTACTATATTCAAATGATAGAAAAATAAATAATAAGTACAAAAATCATATATTTATAAGTATCAAGTCAATTAACGAATATAAGAGTTTAAAATTGTTTATTCGACTTATTTAACCGATTTGTTTAACCATTTGATACAATAACATCTCATACTAGATATCTCCTTTTTCTAAATCAAAGACATAAGTATATATCCATAAATTATCCATACCTGTTTGGTTAAATACCAAATATAAGTGTTATTTGAGTAGGTATCAAGTTTAAAAAACTACACTTAAAAATTTTTAAATCAAATATCAAGTATATTTCGTATTTAACCTGTACCCAAAAATGCTTACTCTAAGGGTTCATATATATTATCCAAGTAAGACCAACCCAAAGCCGGAGCTAAAGTGGTTAAGTGGATGAATTGCAGAAGTCCCTCTCTTTGGGTTTGACATAAATTACATATTTTACCTTAGAACTATTCTAATGTTTTGCTTGAAAGTGT